TGAGGTTTTGATAATAAAGAAGGTAGACAGTTCCTTGCAAAATAGTGTTTGAGAATGGAGAGCTGAGTCTTTGACTATGCTGTTTTACAGAGGCTCGTTTTGTGAACTATTGTCCAGGGGTGACATTTTATATACAGAATTTTTTTAAATGTGTATGAGTGCATTGCCTACATGTTTGTAAGTGTACCTGTGCACACTTTGCCCACAGAAGCCAGAGAGGGCACCTGATTCCCTGAAACTGGAGTTAGTACAGTTGTTAGCAGTCATGTGAGTAATGGGAACTGAACCTGGGTCTTCTGCAAGAGCAACCCGTGCTCTTAACTGTTGAGTCATCTCTCCAGCCCCATATATAGAGCCTTTTTACTTCACTGAAGTTTGCAGATTTTTTCCTTTGGTTTTGACTTCCTGGTATTCTGCAAAGTATGTATATTGCACTTTGAAAACACATGCTAACAAACAATTAGAACTTTAGAAGTCAAACAGAAGAAAGGAGAATTTAAATACCCATCTTTTCAGCTATGAAAAACCCTGGATAAATAATAGTTTCTCAGTCAGGCATGGTATAACATGCCTTTAATCCCAGCACTCAGGAGGCAGAGGCAAGCAGATCTCTGTGAGACTGAGGCCAGCCTGGTCTACATAGGGAATTCCAGGCCAGCTAGGGCTACATAGTGAGACCCTGTCTCAAAAACAATAATTATTAAATATTATTAATAATCAATAAGTAAATATTATTATTGAAAGAGAAAGCAAAACTTACCATGATAAAAACAAGTTAAAGAACCACAAAGTCAGCCCTACAGAGAATACTTGAGGGAATACTTTGAACTGAAAAGAAGGATAAACATGTACAAGAGGCTAAAGAGGAAAAAACGTAAAAGTGCTAGAAAAGCTGCTATACATAGTAAAATAACCAAATACCACAAAACAACAAAATGAGAGAAATTAATATACCTTTCAATAGTAACTCTAAATGCTAATGGTCTCAATTCTTGACTCAAAAGATACAGGCTAGCTAACTGGATTAAAAAATAGGGTTCATCTTCTTACATCTACAATAAACACACCCTTACTTTCAAGGATAGGCACAGCCTTAGAGAAAGGATAGAAAAAAGGTATTCTAAGCAAATGGGACCAGGAAACAAGTAGGTGTTGCTATCTGATAAAAAAGACCACCCGCAAAAACTCATCAGAAGAGATAAAAGGTTGCTTCATTCTGATCAAGGGAACAATCCATCAAGAGGACATTACAATTTTAAACACATGTGCACTAAACTCTGGTGCATCCCATCATTAAATAAATTCTGCTAGACAGTAAGTCACAGATTAACTACTTTAACACAATAACAGCAGGTGACTTCAATACCCCACTCACAGCAAGGGACAGGTGATCTACACAAAAAATAAACAGAAAAAAATTATGTTAAAAGACAATATAGAGAAAATGGACTTAACAGACATCTACACAACAGTCCACCAGAATACATATTCTTCTCAGCAGTCTATGGGACACACTCTAAAATAAATCAGCTACTAGGACACAAGGAAAGTCTTAATAAGTGAGGAAAATTAAAGTAACTATCAGACCATAATGGAATAAAACTAACAATCAACATCAAGAGAAACCACAGAGAATCTTGGAGATTAAACTTAACAAACACTACTGAAAAATGAACAAATCACTGAAGAAATCAAAAGACTTCTAGAATTGAATGAAAACAAAGACAACATACCAAAATCTATGGGGCACAATGAAGGCATTCCTAGGAGGGAGATTACAGCTCTAAGTGCCTACACTACAAAACTGGAGAGAGCACTCAAATTAATGACTTAACGGTGAACCTTAAAGCACTGGAAAAACAAGATAAAACCAAACCTAAAAGTAGTAGATAGAAGGATATGGGGGCAGAAAGCTACAAAATAGAAATGGAAAAAAAAATCAGTGAAATGAAGAACTGGTTCTTTGAAAAGTTAAACAAGATTGATAAACCCTTAGCCAAATTAGCCAAAGGAGAGAAGGCCCAAATTAGTAAGATTAGAGATGAAATGGGATACATTACAATGGATACAAATGAAATTCAGAAAAATCCTATACTCCACTAAATTGGAAGAAGATGAAGAAATGGATAAATGCCTTGATGCATATGACCTATCAAAGCTAAACTAGGAGATAAGCAATTCAATTTTTAAATTCATTTATTTATTTTTATTTTATACATATAAGTGTTTTGCCCTGCATGTAAGTATATCACATCCATGCAAACTCACAGATGTCAGATGAGGGCATCATACCCCTTGGAACTGGAGTTATAGATGTGGTTTTGAAAGAAGAATTACTATTCACTGTTGTATGAATTTGTGAAATTTCATACAACTATGGAAATCAGTGTGGAAGTTCTGCAAAAGGCTAGAAATAAAACTGTCATATGACCTAGCTATACCATCCCTGGGCATATACCCAAAGGTCTCTATATCCTACTATAGCAAAGTAGTTCAACCATGTTCAGTGCTACTCTATTCAAAGTAGCTAGGAAATAGAATCATCCTAGATGTCCATCAACAAATGAGTGAATAATGAAAACATGGTACATATACAAAATGGCATTTTATGTAGCTGTAAAAAAAATGGAATTATGAAGTTCTTGGGTAAATAAATAGAACTGGGAAAAAATTACATTAAGTGCCAAAACCCAGATCCAGAAAGACAAATACCGCATGTTCTCTCTCATATGCGGATCCTAGCTTCAAATCTTTAGATTCAATGTTTAACTTGGTATACTTTAGAAGCTAGGAAACAAAGAAGGTTCATTGGTGTGGGGGATTGTTCAAAGGAACGGGGATAGCAGAACATAGGTGATATAGTGGCAAGGAAGAGCTTAAACAGGGATGGGGGTAGGGAGATGCAGGAGGTGAAGGGGGAAAAGATTAACCAAAATGAAGGGCAGAGAAAAAAAGCCACATGGAAACCTACTACTTTTAAGCCAACTTTAAAAAAGAAAGAAAGAAAGAAAGTTAAAAGGGTAATAGCCTACATGGCTAAATAATGTTGAACCTAATACCCAGGGGTTAATTAACCAAATTTCCAGTGCCAGAGATACTTATGAATTATTGTTCAGGGAGGTCCCAGATGCTCCCAGGACAATACAGGCTCTTGCCATTCTTTTTGGCTGCCCACCAGAACTAGCTATGAAGACCTTACTGCTAAAGACATTAAACATCTTGGGTGCAAGATACAGAGAAATCAGACCGGAACAGAGCTGAAAGCTTTCTTCTTGCTGGCCAGCTAGAAGGTACAATGCAGACTGCTAAAGGAGAAAAGGTATCAATGATCTTATTCAACTGAGAATCCTACAAACCTTCCAGGCAAGATATGTCCAGTGGTGCAACAAGTGACACTACTGTTAGGAGGCAACCAAGTGCTCTCTGATGGGTTTTGAGGCCCACTCCACAAGACAGAATCCATGTCTGGTAGTATAAACCTTGTTACAAACCCATAACTGAGGAGGTCCTAGGACCTGGGTGAACCTATTTTTCTTTAGCTAAACTGACATAGTGCCAAGCTGACTTCTAAATACTTAATACCCACAGACAAATGCTACACTCAATCTTAAGCAGAGAAACTTCTCTTTGTAACAAAAGTTGGCAAATACAGAAGGCATATGGCAGCTCAAGATACCAAGAATCAGTGACTATCAAGTGCTCAGTCCTCAACAAGTCATTCACATCACCACTGCTAAGACTCAGAGAACAAGGAAGGGGGTGGAAAATAGGAAAAAGAGCTATAAAATGCTATCTTGTGGACATGGCATTGCCAGTGCAACCATAATCTCACAGTAGCAGAGCCTACCAACAACAGATTTGTACAAGGCTGGATCTGTCAAAGGTCATAGATTGTGGAGGGGGGTCCATGTGGCCCTACCCTTCTCTGTTGAACTATGGGCTACCGATTGGGGTAGATACTGTCTTCAGTTGTGAACTCATGATCAGCTCCATGTTCAAATGAACAGTAACAAACCCAGGGGTATACAGTCCTGGTTAAATTCAGTGTATTACAAAACAAAATAAATAGACATGAATATGGGAAAGCAACTTGGGGAACGGGGAGGTAAAAGAGGTGGAAGGGAAAGAAGAGGGTAAAGATGACAGTAATCAGAATGCATGCAATCTTTCTTCTATGCATGTGTGTGTAAATAAACAAAATTATCAGAGAATAAACAACAAAAAGAAAATACACAAACTAAGCATAAACTTTAAAGAAAATTCTTTTGGCAGGCATGAATTTCAATGTACTAGCAAAATTCTACATTAAACTGGAGGATTAAAAGCCACAACATGCAAAAAGCAAAGGAAAAGAGAATAACCTCTAAATAACCAAATACAGGGAAGGGGACAGAAATGTTCCAGATTATTGCCTCTTAGAAACGAAATGTCTTCCCAAATTCATGTGTTGATGACTTGATTTGCCAAAGCACTGTTCAGAAGAGGGGAAATTGGGAAGTGATTGGATCAGGAGGGTTCTGACCTAATCACTGGGTTAATCCACTGACAAAGTCATAATTTGACAGCATTATTAACAGGTAAAAACTCCAAGACAGAATCTCACTGGAGGAAGTATGTCACTAGGAGCAAGTCCTTGAAGGTACAACTTGTCCCCACTCTTCATTGCTTTCCAGAAAGCCATGGAACAATCAGCCTTCCTCTGCCATACCAGTTGGGAGAGGTGTTCTGTCTCAAAGACTGAATGTAGCTGCATCATCCATCCAACCATGGACTACAACCTCTAAAACTGTGAGCCTAAATGTCTTTCCCACATTAAAGCTGTTTATCTTAGGTGTTCTGTATAATTACAAAAATGAACACACCTCTAATTAACAACAAAAGTGAAAGTGGCTGTCAAATCTGTATTGATTATCACTGTAATTTTTTTTTCTCAAGTACTCAGAATGATCTACAGTATTCTTTATGTAAAACAAAGAAAGAATGGGAACTTTTTCTTCAACCTTTTTCAACTGTGATTCCATTTTTAGGCATTCCTCTTTCTTCTGCTCCAGAGCAATCTCCAGGGTCTTGAGTCGTGAATCCTTTTTCAGTCCTGAGGAAGCCAGGGAAGAAGCATGCTCTTTCAGATCCAAGAGAGAAGCCTAAAGAAGCAGGACAATTTACAATAAATACCTAATGGAATAAAATGTAGATTTAATTTTAATAATGGTAGCTAGGAGTTTCCATTTCAAGAACATTCATTAACTATAAAACAATATTAGTGTTAGCTTTCAAATGCTAATTAAAATAAGGTAGATTCTCAGTACTGACTGAACAGCCACATAGAGAGTTCTAACTAAGGATTGGAAATATATAGCTCAAGTAAAGTACTTGCTTAGCATGCATGAAGTCCTTGGTTCAATCCCCAGTACCTGGGCAGAGGACACACCTGTTATCTCAGCACATAGAAGGTGGAGGCAGGAGGATCAAAAATTGAAGGCCAGCTTAACATATAGGAGACCCTCTTTCATTAACAAAACAAAACAAACAAGACAAAACAAAACAAGAGGTCTAAACAAAAGTACTCATTCTCACAAAATAAAAGTAGACTGAGCATTGAGAATATAAGTAGCCAATCTTAGCTGCTACATTAACTTAAACATAAAACATTTTTTTCCTTTTAGCAGGAAATTCTCTTAGAAACTTATTTTCACAAATTCTGCCAAAGTTATTAGATAACCCAGAGAAAGACTCTAAACATCTCAATTACCTCAACATACAGCAATAAGTCATTTTTGTTATTTAAGTTACACTAACAAGATTATTCAAAAACAAGATCAAAATTCATTAAGTCATCTAATTTAAAGACTGCTACCCTTCTAGTTGTTGTTATACACAGTCTTCCTCCTTTTGTCCATTACTTTTCTTACAGTTAGAACAGTATTTCTCCAAATGGAACTAAGCTTCAGTTATTTGATGATCTGCAGTGAAAGAGCAGTAAGAAACTTAGGAAATGGATGAGCCAGTTTATTGTACCTCTGCAAAGCTTCCCAAAATATCCAAAAAGCCTGCAATCAGAAAACTAAGATCTTCCTTGATTATGCAGAGCGTGTAAACAGCAACAGAAACAAAACTCATGTAACTAAGCAAACCAAATAACTGCACTAGGCAATCCTAACCTCTTTCTCTGAGAGGTCGCCTTGCAACAGGCTGACTTTTTCTTTTAAGTCTTTAAGATCTTTTTTGTAGGTATCAATTTCCTCCTGCTTCTCTCTCTCATCTCTGTCCCGCTGCTCCTTTAGGCGTTCAATTGTCCGTTCCTGATAAGAAAGCACATCAACACATGAGGAAATTCCCATTTGTACTTAGATATGGAACTAATTCTGCTTTCTCTGACCAAAATTAATACTTCCTATCTTCTATTCAAATGACAATAGTAAAGCTGCTGAAGAATTCATTTTTTAAAGAATGCATCTTTCCTATTTTACCAACAAATTTCTGGCTTTATTTTTTTTTATTCCAAGCACTGTTTTCCTATCATTTCAAATGTTACTAGCTATAGCATTCAATTGCAAAATTCCTATTTAAATTCAATTTCAATTAATTTTGCATGCCCTTAGGGCAATAAGTAGCACATATTTCTCCATTATAATAATATTGACACATTACATACAAAGTAATGGGAGCAACTTATAATTTGTATTTTTAAAAGGGAAGGAGGAAGTTAATTATTGAGTTTACATAAAAGAGGGTAAAGGGAAAAAAAACACTAAAACTTCTGTCAACACACAGTCAAAAGTGTGAAAGCTAAAGCTATTTAAGTGTATTTAGGGACTATATCTAAATATACTCAGGGACAAGCTTTCATTCTGGTAAGCAGTCCAACAAACTAAGGAGTAATAAACAGCCTTATCCCTCTAAAAAGAATTCAATTAAGATGTCCCAAGGAAAATGGAGCAAGTAATAATAATCACAGTACTTGGGAGGTGGAAACGGGAATAAAGAGTTAAAGACCAGTCTGAGCTACTAACAAGTCTGTAGCCTAAGCTACATGAGATCTACCACAAAAACAAAACAAAACAATTTCCCCTCAAAAATTCATACAAGGAGATTCTCTAAACTGCCTTCTAAGATCATTTAGACCACTTTTTTATTCAACTATTCCTGAAAATGGTAGGCTTGTTCATAAAGGTAAAATAAAGTAGTAAGTCAAGGGTAGAAAATCAGTAAGGATGCTATATTCATGAATAAAATCCATGAATACATCAGGTACCACAGTGGAATGGTAACAGAAAAGCTGGTTTAGAATTGCCTCCTGATAGTCAATGTCTGGTATCCCCCATACCTAAGCTGACCATATAATAAGAAATTTTATTTTCCTTCAGAGAGCAGCAAAAGGGGAATCTATACTGCCTCTTTAAAAAATGTGGCTGCTGTTCTTTGGTGTGCAATCAATCTTGCCTGCCAGCAGGTACTCAAATCTAACACTAACTAAACAGACTCTCTTTCCTTTTTATATTATGTACATTAGCAGCAGCAGCAAAGAACTGTTTTCCATGGAAGGATTTCTTCTGTATCTATAGCCAATCTTAGAATGATGAGAAAGCAGAACACAAATGTCTGGGAAGAGCCAGGGCCAGTCACTCACTTTCTCTGCAAGTGCCTCCTCCAAAGTCGTTAGGGCGGTGTCAGTATTGGTGGTATCAGCCTGCAGGGACTTGACTCGCTCTTTCAAGCTGCTCATTTGCTTTTCTTTATCTCTAAGCTGTTCCTGAAGATTTTCAATCTGAATACACATAAACATTTAAAGGGAAAAATCATTTAAAAAAGGAGAATTAGGCATAACAAAATTATTTAAGACAGAAATAAATAAATTATGGTGTGGATATGTCTGCATGTTCTCTGGAGAAATAATTTAATCCTAAGAGGAAAGACACAAACATGGCTGTAGACATGCACACAAACAGGCAAATCCCTAAGAAAACAAGACACGTAGTGAGGAGAAAAGGCCCAACATAGAGATGACAGTGTGGAGAGGGACTGCAGAGATCTGTGAGAAATGGGTTTACTTCTCTAAGATGCCACTGGGAATGATAAGAGATTCCACAAAGAGAACCAAAGAAGGACAAAGAACACAGCAACTAAACAGAAAACAATCAGCTGTGCAAAGGAAAGGCTATTCTTGAATGCTGGTGGTATTACATTTTTTTTTAAATCACCTCGTATCTAAACAGTAAATATTTTCAAATAAACTCACTGTGGCCTTTCATTTCTACATGCACATTTCTATGCATTCATTTACTCAAAGAAAAACTGATTCTCCCATCAAAGTACTAACCA